TGGAAACTCATTATTCTGGGTTTAGAACCACCACACACATTCTTTTTTTTATACGTGGTTCCTAACAGGAGACCTTGTTGAGGAATTGCTTAATACATCCCTGAATTTAATTGTGAATTCTGAAAATTGAAATGATAACAAAAATAAAGTAGAATTATTCTTACATTGTGGTTTCTCTGCCTTGATTTTCTGGTGAGGAATAGAGTTGGGTCTTGAAGTAATAATCACAGGAACTAAGAAGTCTCTCTGAACATTATGTAATCTTTGAGATGAAAATAGAAGGCAAGAATGCTAACTTTACGAATTGGGAAACAAATGCAAATGAGGAAAGTGACCTTTCTTAAAATCACTACTAAGCCAGTCACTGAAGGAACTAAAAATGTTATCTTATATAATTACTCTTTTCTACATTATTTTCTGTGTTGATATTCTTGAATTTGCTTTTCTGTTTGTGAGAGGCAGTTGAGCATAGGTTAGGATGTGTTCAGAAAGCGGGGCAATTTAGTGGAAGGAATATTGGACCAAAAATTGTCTTCCCCAATACACCTCTCGCATGCTGGGTGCCTTTGGGTGAATCACAGAATTGTTCCTTGGTTTGCTTTTCCCATTGAAAAAGGAAGTGATAACAGTTGTCCTTGTTAAGCTTTGTGAGAATAAGATGGAATGTGAGTTCAAAGGGGAAAATATATTATTTATACATTTTTGAAAGACATATGTTGTATGGTATACACGTGCAGCTTTATGTAGCACATACATAAAGTTATATATGCTGTCCCTGCTGTTCTACACATCTAGTGTCTTTATGGTCCATCCTTTAATCCTCTCTGACTCTGTGAGTCCTATGATTTACTCAGGCACGCCTATCACTTTAGATGCTGTATTCCGATGACCTCTACATTTATACTGCCAACCTTGGCCTCTCTCTTGAGATCAGGCTCCAGTGCCAGCCTCCTACTGGACATGTCCATGCACGTCTCTGAACACCTCAGAATGACCGCTTCTAAAATTGAAATCCCATCTGGGTACCATTATGCTCGTCCTGCAGGTCCTTTCATTCAGTCTCTCAGGCTGGGAATTTTGGATTCAATTTTTTTTTTTTTTTACCTTTCGCATGTCTTTTATTGGTGACCAGATTGTTTAGAGTATGCTTTCTAAAAACCTCTTGAATTCAACCCTTGCTAATTTTTCGAGCTACTCACAGAGTTCAGGCTCCCATCAAGTCCTTCTTAGACTCAGACATAATGGATTCTTGAAAAACATGTTTTTAAGGGGGAACAATAGATGTAAATATCACTAGGGTGAGGTAAGGTTGGTGGAAGATGGTGTTCTGTTGACAGAAAGCTGAAAATCATTCTGCTTCCTATAGGTTCTCTCTCTGTCTCATTCAGTAACCTCCCTTCACTGTGTCTTAGGCTTCTGGACTAGGAATGTGAGATTCATGCCAGCCCCAGTTTTTAAACCTCTATAACCATGAACTTGGTTAATCAGGATGGAAAAAAGAATTTCCTTTTTCCTGTCAGTAAAGTGTAGACTGAATGGAGCTTCTGCAGGACATGTTTGATGTTTGAGGGTCCATTCTTCTTGCAAGTCACCCTGGTCCTCATAGAGGGAGCAAAACAGGAAGTGTAATGGGCCCAGAGGAGAGCTTGGACAGGTGAGAGAGCTTGTCCTGAACTGTGACCCCATGAATGAATAGGCTTAAGTCTAAGCTGGATAGAGATCTTCTGGGACCCTACTTACCACCCTGGTAGGATAGAGGATGGTTCTGCCCTGCAGGTTTCCTTAAGTACTTCCGGAATCGCAATGCAAATAACATCTGGTGTTCACTTGGCCCTTTTTGCATCAGCGTTCCTGACAGGCAGTGAAATGACCAGTAAGTAGCTCTATATCACCATTCCTGGTAAATGCCAAAACATGTGAAACTTAACGAAAAGTCAACAAACATGTGAATTGTTAGTCTCTCAAGAGTTTTCCCTATGTTCAATTTTTTTTTCTTTTTGCAAATAACCTTCCATATGGCTACCAGAGAAATTTTTCCAAAAGGAAGATTGAACAATTTTTACAAAATGATTTCCTTTCAACTACACTAACTTTCACCATATTTTCAACCATTTTTACCAAGGATACTCAAATGTAATCCATTTTTGTGTCCTTCTTCCTTTCATCATAAGGTCAGGCTTCACATGTCATTTCATCTGAAAACAAGACAAACAAACCTACAAAAATAATACAGCCTCTCAGTCTTTCACAATCTGACTCCAAAAGCAATGGAAAATAACAGGTTTTCTTTTGAGTACCAAATGATGAAACTTTCTAAAAATCCTCTTTAAGCATCTCTTCTCTGAAGTTCTACCTTGTCAGGCAGCTGCTATACTTTTCTCCGTTTCTTTTCTCTCACTATAGTAGTTTAACCTCACTGGGCCACGCCTTTGCTTCTATTGGTGGCTCTGATCATCATTTCTTTATTCAATGCTGTTCTTCCTCTGTTTCTCTCCATTGAGTCCCCATCTATCACCTTGTTCAGCAAGACAAAGGATTTTGCTCAAGCTCTACCTTGAACCAAACTCAAGCCTGAAAAGGGTGGGGGAGGGGGAAGCATAATAAATATTTATAATTCAATTTTAATTTACTTTTATCTATAAATTGGAATGAAGTTATGAAATTTGTGAATAATTCACTTGTATGTAAATTGGAGTCGATTAAAAGTTAACAAGAGATAAATTCTTCTCACAGAGTCATATCTTATGTGCCTCCTTGAGGAAACAGAAGGTTTTGGAGCTCAGAGGAATTGGATTGCATCTCTGCAAAGCCTCTCTTCTCCTTGATGGAGTCTGGGGAGAAAGTATTACATTAACCATGGCTGAAATTTCAGATTATTGTTATGCTTTTGGTTGTGACTATGGGATAGAACTGAAGCAGTTTCTTTCTGGAAACACAGAAGTTTCTTTGTCCTGAAACTTTGAACCAGTATCCTGAACCTGATTTCCATGTCCTGGGTTGGGTGCCTGATCCTGAATCAGTTACTGCGGACAGGAAGAGGTGGTGCTGTGATGGATCAGAGTCCTTCTAGCACAGAGGAAGCTGTGGGTTAGGAGTGAGGTGGGATCGTTTTTCAGTGGTACATAAGTGTTATTATTATTTATTTTAATTTTTGCACCCAGAGATTAAATCGTGGATGGTGACAAAGACAAGTATCTGTCACACTGGCAGACAAAGTCCTGCCTACCCTGTCCAGCTTTCCTGCCCAGCTCCGTTCTGCGGTGGCTGCTGTTTGCTCTTTCATCCATGTCATGCCCTTTCACACCTCTCTGCTTTTTCATCAGCTATTTCTATGGCTGGAATGGTTTTCCCTCTCTTCTCTACCTGGTGAAGATGTTGAAAGTGTTAGTTACTCAGTCATGTCTGACTCTTTGTGACCCCATTGACTGTAGCCCGCCAGGCTTCTCTGTCCCTAGGATTCTTCAGGAAAGAATACTGGGGTGGGCAGCCATTCACTTCTCCAGGGGATCTTCCCAAGCCAGGGATCAGACCTGGGTGTCCTTCATTGCAGGTGGATTCTTTACCTTCTGAGCCACCAGGGAAGCTGAGCTCCTTCCCTCCAACTGATGTTGGCTACTTTTCCCTCTGTGGTCCAAGAACACTTTGTAGGAAAGAACACTTTGTATTTATGCTGAAAATGACAACATTTCTTTTATTTTATTAGGATTATTTGTCCCCTCCTCTATTTTATGAATAACTTGAGGGTTTCCCCATGTCTGTGCATTCCCAGTGATGGACACAAACCAGATGGTTACATTTTTATTCCATAAATTTGTGGGGCTGGAAAAGTGGGAACTTTAGATTAATCCCATAATCTCTCTTTCATCAAGGTAGTTATTCTGAACCCGATTTCTGCTACACTGCTCCCAAGGGAATGCTTGGCAATGTGTGGGAGAGATTTGGTTGTTACAGTGACTAGGATTGGGTGCCACTGACATTCTCTGGGGTAGGACCAGGGGTGTAAGTGCACTGCGGTTCCTAGGACAGTTTTCAAGGAAGGATTGTTCTCTCCCAATGCAAGGATCTTCCCCATTGAGAGCTCCTTATCTAGTCTATTTAGTCTAGAACATAGAAACGAGTGGAAGAATTTGATAACAGAAACTGCGTTCTGGGCCTCATCAACCTTTTGCTCACACTTTGAATAGGAAAGTGTTTTGTTTTGTTGGCATTTGGCTTGAATGATAGGCTTTATCATGTCCACTAAGTCTGTCCCTGGCTATTTTTCCCATATCCTATGAGTCCTGAGGTTGGAGCTGCAAGACTAACCCAAAGGGAAGTGCAGGATAAAAATCTACTCTTCCACTAAAATCTCTTGTCTAGTTGTTCTTTAAACCAGGGGAGAGGGAATTGGGAATTAAGTTCTCTGCATTTCTTTCAAAAATATGGCATGATAATTTGATCTTAATGTTTCATCCAGTGCACAGAAGGCTGAGAGTGACTAATTTCAATGATCTTTTAAAAAATCTATTTATAGCAAGCCTTCTGGCTACAGATATCAATGTGAAAGGTAGCACATTGATTTGAATCCAGTTTTCTGTCACAAGGTGTCAGAAAGCCTAAATGGCTCTATCATGGTCTCTTAGGTCCTTTTCTCGGAAGGACATCTTTTTGTTCCATTTTGACAGTGACGTGGCCACAGTATCCAGGATATAGGAAGAATGTGAGCAGAAAACTTGGAAGCTCACTTCTTCAAACAGGCTTTTTTGACAGGCTTCTTTGATTCCTTGTCTCAAAGACATTTTTGAGAAAAAGATCCCTGAATACAAGCTCAGTCACTCATGTGGTTTACTGTCTGTGTTATGTGTAGCAAAAAGTGTTTTTGAAAGAATTTACCAGGAAAGTCTGGAGCTTGATATTTATCAGCAATTACTTGTAATGTTCTGAAAGATGTTGTCTATAAAGGATACTATAAAGGATAAAGGACCCAATATAGTCTATTTACTGTTTGTTTCCCTTTTTAGATACTCCCAGAAGTATAAAAGCCTCCACTGCTACAGCGGAACAGTTTTTTCAGAAGCTGAGAAATAAACATGAGTTTACTATTCTGGTGACCCTAAAACAGACCCATTTAAATTCTGGAGTGATCCTCTCCATTCACCATTTGGATCACAGGTATGTGTGACTGCTGGAGTTTCCTGTGTTTTCATTTTGTATAGTGAAATTAACACATTAAAGAGAACTAAATAAAAGCGAGATAACAGGATTGGTTTAAAACAGCAAGAATAATTTTGCTGAATTATGCAAAATCACAAACACAGGTAATTGAGATCAGCCTAAAAGCAGAAGGAGCTGCTGTTTTTGGTGTTGCTAAGAGCATACAGAAGTTACCATATTCTTAAAACCCATTTATTAATCACTAACTTCTTCATGAGATATCCTACTCAATGTTAAAGTCAAATATACTTCTTAATTGATAAACAGATAGCCACTAAAATACTGTATTCTGTTTCTTTAAGGTATTGCTTGGGTTTAGAGTTTAATAGTCTTAAAATTTTAATCACAGACAAATGCATTCTTTTTCAACGTGTTTCTTAGACTGTGATAGTTACAGCTATTCTTGGGATGTGTGTTGAATCAAAATGCTATCTGGTATTTCCTAGTTTCTCGTACATGTGAGAAACATGATTTGGGAGCTGGTGGGAGTAGTGAGGAGGAGTGGAGAGGGAGAATAAAAAATTCATTCATGACACTTAGAATATACGTAAATTGCTGCTAAATAATATCAAACAAGTTAAAGTGATTCCTTCCTGAAAGAATAGCTATGGTTCTGACAATGAAAGTTCTTTTGTGTTCATATTTTGAGTACCCACTTTGTGACTGTTGGTGGACCTTGGGCAAATTACATAACCTCAATTTCCTCATCTGTAATACAGGGATAGTAATAATACCTTCTTCATAGATTGTTGTAAGGATCAAGGAGTGTATATATGTCAAGTGTTTTACATATATAATGGATTTAATGATCCTATTCAGATGTGAGCAGAAACCTCTTTTCCTGGTTTCCCTTATGAGAGATGGGACAGTCTGGGACTTTGCAAATCTTTGCTAAACACTAAAGGCCAAATATATGTGGAGAACAAAATATAGAAAATCGACTCATAGAATAGGGTTCCTGATCACATTCTACCTGGATTACTCACAGTATTTAAGGTCCCATCGAATTCTATCTTTAACCCCAAAGGATTATGATAATATCACAAGCTGCTCACTTGGGTTCCCCCACACCCCTGCCAGGTTTTGGCTTATTTTTCAGAGGAGGATGTCACCCAGACTTTCACTGAGTAGTTGATGTAGTCTCTTCAAGACTAAGAGCAGGAAAGGGAGAGTTCCACCTCCCGTGGATTCATTAGGATTTTCCCCCTTGGTGTGTTTCTGTTCCTTGTCTTCAGGTGATTGATATCAGGGGAGTTCCTTGCTTACACCACTGTGACCCTGCCCTTCTCCACTGGGCTTTGGGCAACATGATTCACATACAGCAAAGGATATTGTTCCTTCACAGAACAGCCTGATTTATTGCTGATTATTTCTGCGTGCTACGAAAATTCCCCTGTATTTCAGGCACTATATTTTTCTGCCCTGTGGCTTTTTCCCACTACCCCATTTGTAGATATTGAAAGGATGTGGTGGGGTCCAGCCGCTTGCTGCTCAAAAGCCAATAAACAGGCCAGGTGGATGGAAAGGAAAGTTTGCTTTATTTCAGATGCCAGCAACTGGAAACAGGGTGGAGTCGGATGGACATCTGTCCAAAAACCAGCTCCTCCCCGCTGGTAACCAGTGGGGCAAGAGCTTTTATAGATAGAAGGAGGGGCTGTGTGCAGAGACAGCACAGCCAGGTCTGACAATCATCTTCAAATTGGTCATCAGTGGTCTGACCAGTGTCATCTTGGTTGTTTTAGGTGTGGTTAATCTTCAGTTCCAAGGTCCATTTATTCCCATTTCTTTGAGATCGGTTCTCGAAATCGTGGCAGCTCATGTCCAGGGCACAGTCTGGTCATCGTGCAGTTAACTTCTCCACCTGGTGTTTTGGTATCTGTAAGACAGCTCACAGGGCATGGCTCAGAATGTTATCTGTAGCCCTTGAGAAAGTGCCAGAGGTCCTTGACTTTGCTTACGGACTGCATTATTATTTGGTCTCGTTTGATTGTTTTCCTTTGTTTCCATCTGTTCTCACTTTTCTGATTGAACTTATTCTTTGACTAAAGTTTTCCACCGACAAAAGGCAGGCAGAGGCCATGGCGGGGAGAGCAAAGACCACAGGGTCCCGCTTTGTTTCATAGGGATGTGAAGCTCGCCCAGCCTTCTTCCAGATGACACCTCAAAACCATCCCGTCTAAATGGACGATGTTCTGTTTGGTCCCTAGAGTTGAATATATTAACTATACAAATGTTTGACCAGCATCAGTTTCATACTATCTATCCCTGGTGGCTCAGAGGTTAAAGTGTCTGCCTGCAATGCGGGAGACCTGGGTTCGATCCCTAGGTCGGGAAGATCCCCTGGAGAGGGAAATGGCAACCCCCTCCAGTATTCTTGCCTGGATAATCCCATGAACGGAGGACCCTGGTGGGCTGCAGTCCATGGGGTCGCAAAGAGCTGGACATGACTGAGCAACTTAACTTATGCACTTTCTAGCTGATGCTTCTTACAACAGTTTCAAATTTTTTTTTTTAGCACCTTAGACATAGTAAGGGTATACTGATATACCCAGCCTTTATCAGATAGGTCCTTGAAGGCAGATTGGTGTCAGACAGATCCTTACTGTTCCTATAAAGTAGACTTGTTAAAATTATATGTAGGGTTTTATATTGACTTATTTCAATTAAAAATAATGTTTACTTTTTTCAAATTAGCATAGCAATGTATTTTTATTGTAGAAAAATTGGAATACTAATAAGTATAATAAAGAAATAGGAGAACTCATACAAATCATATCACCCAAAGAAGACTATGTTGAAATTGTCATATTTTAATCCAAAATTTGTCTGTGTATAGAGATATGCCATATTTTGTTTGATCAATTCCTTACTTTTGGATACTTAACTCATTTCTTTTTTAACTTTAGTAAATAGCACCAAGATGAATATATTTATGTGAATCTTTGTGCTTAGCTCTCATGCTTTCCAGTTATTCTTGCTAAATTTATTATGAATTATTCATTTATATTAGCTATAAATTTGATGACATTTATGTAAATAAATACTATATTTGAGATATAGGGTATTTTTATGATATTAAAATCATCTGTATTGGTAATTCACTTTTTCATTTGCTTAGCAGCAGCAGCAGCAACAGTAAGCCAATAATTATTAAAGGCTTATCATGTGCCAAGCAGGGTGCTCAGTGCATTCCATGGATTAGTTCATGTTATCATCATGTATTAGATAATGGTCCAGAGTACGGATCTGGAGCTGGACTGTGTACATTCCAGTCATAGCTCTAAGACTGACTGGTTTTGTGACTCATGTAAATTACTTACCTCTTCTGAACCTCAGGTACCTCATGTGTAAATTCATATAAAGTACTTGATAACCCTAGAGAAAAAGTTCCATAGAAGTCGATCATATGGCAAGGTCATTATTCTCATTATCATTTTACAGATAGGAAAAATAAGCATTAGAGAGATTAAGTTGTCACCATATGAAGATACCAAATAGTTATTGACTATATTCCCCACACTGTACATTGCATACTCATGACTCATTTATTTTATAACTGGAAGTTCATACCTCTGAGTCTCCCTCACTTATTTATCTCCACCCCTCAAATCCTCTCTACTCTGACCACCACCTGTTTGTATCTATAACTCTGTTTTGTTATGTTTGTTAGTTTGTCTTAGGTTTTACTTGGCGTATATGAATGAAATCATGCAGTATTTGTCTTTCTCTGACTTATTTCACACTTGGCATCATTCGGATTCTTGAGCCCAGAATTTTTTACCTGTCTACTCTGACAACCCCTAACCTCATGTTGCCCTCGCAGACCTTGTGCTTTGTTGTGTTTTTTTTTTTCCCTGTTATTACTGCTGACAGTATCTTTCTTTCCTTAGGTCTTATTCTCACAGATCTCTTTAGTTTCATCATTTCCCGAACACTTGTTTATTCTCTGCTGATTTCTACAAATGATTAAAATGGTATATAGAGAGATATCTATTGGGCTTCCCTCGTGACTCAAATGGTAAAGAATCTTCCTGCAATGTGGGAGACCCAGGTTCGATACCCTGGAGAAGGGAATGGCTACACACCCCAGTATTGTTGCTGGAGAACTCCATGAACAGAGGAGACTGGCTGTCTATAGTCCATGGGGTCACAAAGAATTGGACCCAACTGAACAACTAACGCTTTCACTTTTACTTTCATAGCGATACCTACAGGACAATAACATAAAAATAAAATGAAATATACAAATTAGGGCAAAGAAACAATAGACACCCAGTTGGGTGATTAAGGAAAGGCAGCTATTCTTAATTCTGAGACCAGAGACATATTTCTCCTATGACCTGTTTTTTTTTTTAAGTTAGTCAACTCTTTTATTTTTATTTAACTTTTGAAGTCTCCTATGACCTTTTGTGGGAAAATGTATTGAATGCCTTTAAAGGAACAAGTTCAGAAGACCTTGTATCAACTGGTTGCATTAAGACACAGCGCACTCAGAAAAATCAAGTCTATAACCATGCCAGGAACATGCATCTGTGTTGAGGGTGTTTGAAGCAATACTGCCTGCAAGGCCTTAGGCAGTGTGCACGAAAGTTCTGTGCAACCACGTCTTACTGCTCAAATGACAGTAGCACCTCCTGTATGAAATCCTGATAAAATACCTTGTCTTCCAGGCAATAGCCCACATAGATTGCTTTTTCCAGTGTCTTGAAAATAATATTAAATTCAAGTTAGACTTCTCTGATAAATCCCAAATTACAGTTATTCTTTGTTGACAGTTAAGTGAGACTTAGTGTTGAGCATCAGCAGCAATTGAGTTAGAGGAAATACTGACTTTCTTTTTTTTTTTTTTTACAAAAATTGAGGCGCCAACAAGGACATACCCGAACAGAAGGTACCTATGTTTGCCTATGGTAGCTGAAGTAGGTGATTCCCAAGGGCAGGGCTAGACTTTTCCTGGG